GTGTCTGTGGGTAAGATGGTGACTTTAACCGGCAGCGGTTGGTCGGATTCCCGCTGGACCGGTCCATCCAGGGCGGACATGCCTGCAGGGGGGGAGCAGGACCCTGCAGCCAGATGGAGGCACCCTCCGCCTGCAGTTCCGGCTGCAGCTCCAAGGTGGCGTCCATGAGAGGTTGTCCTAGTGAAGGCAAGAAATATACAGAAACTAGAAAGGTGGCATTTTCAAAGCAAATGCATGATGTTTACCTTCGCATAAGGATATAAACTACTGCTCTGTTTAATTATTCCAACTTTAATTATAATATGGTGACCAGCGCCTCCAACTCTGTCCTGCCACTTGCTACATAAATGTAACCCAACACTATAGCACCGGTCACCATGGTGACAGCCATCTGTTCCAGGTCATTGATCTTTGATCATTGTCCGCCATGGTCCAAAAGAAGATGGAGATGCAGAAGACAAAGTTGAAGAAGAATCAGAGCAAAAACAATGTTTTAAAAGTAATTATTATAGTTTTAAACAAAACGTATAACAGTTGCCACATAAAGGCTAGTGTGAAACAAAAGGTAACAGAAACAAAACCTACTGCTTGAGGGATTACATAAAGCTTTATATCTTACCTTGCCCAACAATCAGTGTTTTTGCCCCCGCCACCCTGAAGCAGTGCATGAGCCCCTGTCCCCTGAGGTTGGTGTTGAGAAGAGCCATCTTCACCCCGAGTCTGGCCAGGCCCAGGAAAGTCCAGACGAAGGCAGGCCCGTTGTACATCAGCAGGGCCACGGTGTCCCCCTTGTGGAACCCCCGCCCGTAGAAGAAGTTAGCCACACGGTTCGCCATAGAGTCCACCTGAGGAAGTCACAAATTGAATATACAAACAGGAAGATTCTATAACAAGAAATAGCCATGCCTTCAAGTACCAAAATTAGCAACCAAGGACTGAGGTGTTCAAGAATTCATTCACACTCACTCACACTCACTTTCCTAGAACTATCGCAGAGTGGAACTCGCTGTCACCAAGTACAGTAGGGGCATTGTCATTAGATAGCTTTAGACAATGCCTAGAGTTAGATGTTTAAGGGTTAAGTGTAAGAAGTCGATTGGTGTAATGTAGCCAGCTGCCGCTGCGCCGTGCAATTAAGTTTTTCCTACCTGTGCGTACGTGTGGACTTCATCGCCGAACAACACGAACGGCTTGTCCGGGTGGTTTCTCACGGCGTCCGCGAACTGTGTCAGCACCGTGCCGCCAGACAGGATGATGTTGGTGAACCTTAAATGCAGAGGAAAAGAAACCAACTTGCTACATAATGTAACCCAACACCACTGGGTGTCTGCTACAGCACCAGTTACCATGGCGACAGACGTCTGGTCCAGGTCATTGACCTTAGTGTTTGAAGACGAAGATATAGAGCAAAAACAATATGTTTTCCTTTTCTATGAAGGTAAACATAATCAATACATCTACTGCAGGAGATACGAGAAAGAGAGGCTGTGAGCAGCTCCTCTGAAATGAGGTCGACAGCAGCCATGAATCATTGGAGTAGCCAACCAAATAAAGAACTTAAGAAGCGATATTGTAACATTAGCTGGGACAAGAGATAACCTAAGAGCAGACATGAACAGTATGACACTAAAATGTAACGTTACAGAGCGTTTTCAAACTACATAGAAACTAATAAGGCAAGATTTGAGAAGAATTAAACATTTCCAAAACACACATGTGCACAAAGCAAGTTAGCACATTAAGTAGCAGAGCGGTTAGAATTAACAAGGAACCAAGCAGAGAGTAGTGGAAAGATAGACGTAAACCAAGGGCAACAAGAACACAGATACCTCTCGATGATAGCCAGCTCTAGCTTGACCTGGTGCCGATCGCGTAACACCCTCGGATACAGGAAGCTGTACAGCCCGGCCGCCGCTACCGCCCCGCCTACTGCCCCCGTCCCGTACAGGACCGTCCTCTTATCCTCCACATCCGGCCACATCCTCACTAACGTAGCTACAACCTCAGATTCTCTAGTGACTAGTCTCTACCACTAGTACCAGACTAACTACTCTGGCTATATGGGAGAATATTTGCCAGCGAGGGGAGTTTGGCCGCCTTGTAGGTTTGAGACTTTGACAGGCTGCGCAGTCTAGAGGGAAAGAAACTACCTCCCAGCGGCCGGACTCCCTTGGCTAATTTTACTCAGTCCTTCTTGCCGAATTCTTATATGATCCGTAGTCCCAAAGGAAGGCCTGGTGGAGGCTACAAATTCTCCAAGAATCGGGAAGAAAACTGACTAAAGTTTGCAGCTGTGGGGTGTAAGGTTACTGCGGAAGGGTGAAACGCCCACATCTGTGCCAAAGTTCACAAGTTCTGAACGACGGCCTTGACCTATGAACTTTGTCCTCCAGAGTAACCTTCAAGTGTAAACAGAGGGTCTGCATGCCGTTTTTCGTAAGGCGTAATCAGGCCTTTTTAGACTTCGTAAATCGTAGGCAGCCTCCGCAAAAATCAACGTAATTCGTAATTGGACATTAGTCGCAAATCGTAAAGTCGTAATCAGCTCTGAGACTTTGACGTATAATTCGTAATCGGCGGCGAAAACTTGCGTAATTCGTAATCACAACCCCCATGCAGGCCCTCTAAATAAAGCTAGGCGACTGGGTAGTGTCACAGAAATGTCAAACTTTTTCCTGATACAGGCGAAAAATCTGAAACACTGAATACACACAAGGAATTTAGGATTTAGCAACTGTATAAGTATCTATAATACTCTCCAGGCAGAGGTTTGGGTTTTGGCTTATTTTTGGCGTGTTTAGAGGCTTTTTTTTTATCGGGCTTTTTTCTTTGCATTAAAAAAAAAGATACTAGTGCAAAAAAAGAAAGCCTGATAAAAAGCCTAAATTACATATTAAAATAATACATTATTAAAAGTATCCACAGGGTCGAATGTGACAAAACCTAACTCATAAACGACTTGATTTTAATCTTTCGGCAACAGGAACCGATATCATCAAGCTTTACGCGGCATGGGGTCGCTTTATCAGTTTTGACAGTTGTCTCTCGAAAGCTGCTTGCAATTATGGATAATCCTTTAATTTATCGGGTTATTGTTATCTCAGCGAAAGTCGATCCGTGATGGGGTTTAGCATAAAAAAAAAACATTTTTTTTCGCACAAATCGGAAAAGTAGGTAATATATGCGTTATTTTGCGTTTTATCATACATTGGACTGACGTAACGTTAATCATTCTAACGTTCTCCCTTTGATGATACAAAGTCTTCATAATTACAGTATAAAATACAACTTTGAACTTTATTTGATAAAAACAACATGGCAGGAGAAACTCCTGAATTGTGTTGTGATTTTACTATTCTCTATTCATGATCAGGCAATACAAGTTGTCCAAAGATGATCATGATAAAGTCATAAAAAATGACATTCTGAATCACTCTTAAGAAATTAACGTTATTCAAATAAGGCCTGTATTGCATGATTTTATATTGTATGAAGATGTCTGTCAAGAAACCGTCCAAAAAGTCGGTCAAGAAACCTGAGCTAGGTCACCAAACAAAAACCCAAGGCCACCAAGCCGAAAAGCCCAAAGCCATGAAGGCTACGACCCCAAAGAAGACCTACAAAATAACCACCAAGAAGTCCACGAATTATCTGGTCAAGAAACCTTTAGCGTAGAAAGAAATTTGCCAAAATAGTAGGACTATTAAATTTCTGATCTTTTAATATCAGAGACATTCACCACTGATTGAGTGAGCTTGAATTCGGGCAGGTCAAAACTACGCAATAAAAGACCGTGCGCAAGCGGTCTCTAGCGACACATTTCAAACTGCAACTTTAAACTTTATACAATCTTCGGATGTTTCACGTCAGTGAAGGTTAGACATCCAGGTAAGAAGATACGCCAAAAAGCAGTTACTCAAGCGAATGGATGTGATTTTGGATGTTCAGGTGTTTAACTGTAAAAGTACCAACAATAGTATAATATACTGTCTATTGAGGTCTGATTGTCAGTCCAGAACTACGTAAATTGTTGTATGTTTAGTGTTTCTGAGGTTTTATGTTTGTACTGTGGGGATAACCTGAAATAAAGTCATTCATTCATTCATTCATTCATTCATTCATTCATTCATTCATTCATTCATTTAACTTCCTCGACTCGACTCTTCTAACTAACCCTAATTTACTAGACATGTCTTTTTAATGACTATCTGTGTCCATCTGTTAGAAACACAATACAATGTACTAGAAAAGAGTATCAAATTTTGTCAAACCTAGGAGGTTATAGGGTCAAACAAATAGGCGCAAAACACGCAGAGTGAACTGGCTCCTTGTATCTGCTTGGAGATTTTGTAACGTTATAGCCACGCCGGCAACACGTGACAAATATGACAACTGGAATTTTGAATTCTTTGACGTTGATCTAAGCGACTTTTTAAATTGTAGATTCTCTCCCTATGCCAATACTAACGAACTCTTTAAATACAAAACAAAACAGCAACAACAAAAAGTACCGTTATAACAGGTGGACTAGCCCGACCAGATCTCATGAATTTAAGTTAACTTTCCTTAAGTCGAATTTAGATGTTACGAAACTTATAATAGAACTTTATATATTAGATAGAAGGTCGCAACGCAATGTATTATTTTCTCAGATTTCATCTTTTCTTTCTGCAGATATCAGAGACCAAGCTGTATTTTGAACCAGACATGCTTTTGACGTGATTTGTGATGTGTAACTTGAGTTGACACGCAAAATAACGTTACAGGTGTTTCGTCTATGTTACAGTACAGGTGTTGGATGTCTTCGCTAATGGCGCAACGCATCGCAACGCAAAACAACACCAATGCACATTTCTACCATCATTTCATCTCAAATATTCCGTGAAACAAATTAAACATATATTTATGAATATAATACGTACTTTCTGATATAGTCATAACAGATATAGTGCGAGGAGAGACTGTTGTTTTGCCGTTCTTGTTCGCGTTTGCCTGCGGTGTCATTGCATGTCCCCCGCTAGCGGCGGCCAATGCCGGAAGGTAGTGTTGTATTTTATCGATTTTCTTCGCGCTATTCCTGACGATAGAAGCCTCCCCGTGTGAGGAAATTTCGGTGGAGAGGAGGCACGGGCCTACAGAGGTAGTTCTACCCATCCTGTTAGCCAGGGAGCTTGCGGTTGGAGGTGAGGGGCCGGGGCAAGGCGGTACAACATACACCAGTAAGTACAACGCTATGTCACCTAGCTAGACTCCATAGCTTGCCAAAAACTGGGGGGTTTTCAGGGTATTTGGGATCTTTTATGTGCTATTTTCTTATAGAATATAGACAGCATAACCGGCCTGGTTGAATTACCTCCGTTTTTTGATCAGAAAACAGCTGAAGACCACCAAACCCCCAGTTCTATAAGCCTGCTACGGAGGCACCGCTATCTCTGCATTTCAGTAGTTCGGAAATAATTTGTTGTAATCTACTCAGCACGCTTTCTGTTGTAAAGATAGTGGTTAGGTGGGCGGTACCTGGTTTTGTTGTTTATCTGTAAGCAAGATTAACGCTATAGGAGTGTTTTCTTGTACAGAATGGCTAACAGAGGTGATATATGATACATATATGAGCCGCCATGGTGGGTTAGAAATGAGCCTTTATTCAGGCTACAGACGTTTTGCAAGGCGGTGTGAAAATCGTTTGGGCACGGTTTCTGTTTACAAGACAAATACGTGATGTACCTTCGGGAGGTCCGATAGACTCCAATCTCAGGAAGACTATTAAATGAGGGTGGCATTGACGAATGGACCAAGGAGACAACGTTGTTTCTATTGATTCCTTGCTTGGCCCCATCATGGTTTTTAGCTAGCCTGGCAGCCAGACCACCGTAGGGTCCCTGATGTTCCCTAACTGGCCTGTGGAGAGACTAAACGGTTGTAAGGCCAAGGAAAAAGTTGTTTCCTGTTTCAATCCTGAAAAAATAAGGGTCAGTCGGTAGGAATTAGCCTGAAACTTGCTTTTTGCTTGACTTCCTGATTGAACTTGTGTTTACACAGACTTTGGCAATCTCTATTGATCCAACAATACAGTTAAACAAAGTAAAACTTGCCCCATGACACTTGTATTTTCAATGTCAATGTTGGAAAACCGATTATACAACGTTTCATCACTCAGGTGTCAGATCATGGAGCTAGAAATGGTTAATCATTCAGCTTGAAAAATTGATGTCCCTTGCAGGGGTCCACCACAAAAAAAAAAAAAGACTAGGGTCGGCAATTTTTTCTAGGGACAGTCAGGAAACAAGAAACAACATCTTTTTTCCTAGGCCTAAGGCTCTTGTGCCAAGATCTGGCAATGGCTATTGGGAAGCCGGCCAATGTAACTGTAAGGATCAGATTTTCAGATCTAATTGATGCTTTCAATCAGAGACGTTTGGGAAATCAAACGTTGGAATTTGTCCCTGATTTCCTGCAGGGCTTGTATCGAGAGTCTGTCAAACGTTGTAAATATGATGGAGCTGGTGACTAAATTGTACCTTGGAGTATTCTCCAAGCAGATGTAGGGTTGCAGCTTGTTTTGTGCATCAGAAGGTCTATTTCTTTCCACTACATGTGTGTAAAGACCTATGATATAAGTGAAAAGACAGCAACGAATCAAAACTATACAAATCACAGCTCCTAGCCTGATAAAATGACAATTGTTTATTTTCACAACACACATCACAAAGAAAAATATACATACTGTTTACGTAAGCAAAACATATACATACAATAAATACAGTAAAGGTGCTTTCACCTGTTCCCAAGGCCCTAGAGACAGCAGGTTTCCATGTTCAACAAACCCCTTAAAGCACCTAAAGCACCCAGGCCTCTTCAAAGTTGCCTTAGGTAACCTTCTTTTCTGGGAAACCCTGGGGATTGCTGTCATTACATCTCTATGGTCTGTCTGTTCATGAAAAAAGAATCCCCCAAGTCCTTACTCTGTCCAGTGTTTCCTCAGGTAACCTTCTTTTCTGGGAAACCCTCAGAATTGCTGTCATTACATCTGTATCAATCTGTCCATAAAAAGAAACCCTCAAACCCTCTCCTGAGTTCCCTTATACTATAGTTATAGCAAGGACGTTATATGAAGCTCCTTGCTTAAAGGTAACCTTCTTTTCTGGGAAACTCTCGGGATTGCTGTCATTAGATATCTATTGGTCTGTCTATTCATAAAAAAAGAATCCCCCAAGTCCTAAGTTGTCCAGAGTTGCCTTAGGTAACCTTCTTTTCTGGGAAACCCTCAGAATTGCTATATATCTGTACCACCAATCTGTCTGTTCAACAACACCAAAAAAACTCTCTCCAAAGTTCCCTAAGGCAACCTCAGAATTGCTGTCATTACACCTCTATCTATCTATCTGTTCAACAAAGAACCCCCCCCCCCAAGCCCTTAAACTCCGTCCAGAGTTGCCTTAGGTAACCTTCTTTTCTGGGAACCCAGGGGGATTACTATCATTACATCGCTATTGATCTGTCCATAAAAAGAAACCCTCACACCCTCTCCTGAGTTTCCTTACAGCAAGGACGTTACATGAAACTCCTTGCTTAAAGAAGTTCTTTTCAGGGAAACCCTGGGGATTGCTGTCATTACATCGTCTGTTCATAAAAATAAAGAAACCAAACCCTCCGCAGATTTCCCTTAGGCTAACCCCTGTCCTTACAAAACCCGGACCCGCTGTCATTACACCATCTTCTATCCATCCATCAAGGAGGTAGCAACAACTTATTCATTTCCAAATTCCGAAGATTACTGCTCCAAAGCACAGACATCACTCTGAAGTTATTTGCTCCTGGGTCGTACAGAGGTTACTGTGGATATATTGGACATTAGAGACCACCTCAGATGTTTGTGTCTCATCTAGGGGAATAGAATGGCTTGATGGAAGATGATGATGAGATGATACAAAATGTAGTTCCATCACACAAGCTGTAGAGTACTTCAGATGATGATGCACTATGTTCTTCAGCACTCCAGTATCTGAGTAACAACATTAGAGGGTGTTCAAGCCAAATGAACTGTACAATGAAATCATGCGACGATTGAAAATCTTAATATGATTTAGGGCTGCCAAGACTGAACGTTTATTTCTTCAGACATCAAAAAGAGACATCTCTTACCATCCTGTTGTGCTGCAGGTATATGTAATGCTGTTATCAGACTAAAGATGGCAGTACATGTGGCCTCTTGTTTCAATCAGTGGAAGCAATCTGGCATTGTCCTTGATCTCAGTACCAGCAGTTACCTGGGCTATATATAATATGGAGTGATTGGTGTCCTCATGTTTGAGGCAGTGAATTTTATTTTTATAAACTTTATTTCCTTGGGTTCTTGGGGTAAGGAGATTGAGATTGGATCATTGTTATGGAAAAAAACACAATATTTTCATGTTTACAAAATGTTCTGACTGAATTTTTGTATCGATAGCAGTACCACTTGCCTCTGACACAGAGAGAAAGTCCAAAAGGTGACTATAGTTATCAATATCAGGTGTCAAATTCTGTTCCCTTCTATTGATCTACATGTATTGGTATTTGAGATGAATAGGATCTTCTCCAGTTCTTGCACCAGATGACAATCTTGTAACTTCCCAAGAAGACCACTCTCGGGACTGATAAAGTCTGTGTGAACAGGTGGTTGTTATTTACAGGATTTGCTTGTACTTTTTGTCAATGGGGAAAATTATATAAGGCCACAAGGATTTAATTTTATGGATGACATCCGCGCGCGCATTGATTTTCGCCCGATCTCAACAAAAAAAAAACAAAAAAAAAACACGTATTCCGAGGCTCTGGCCTGGCTTTAGGCCTGGGTAGTGCATGGTGGTGATAACTCTGGTTGACGGCAGCCAGGCTACCGAAGCTCCAAGACTAAAGAACTCAGTACATACGTACAGAAGTGTCGATTCATATATTCCGCAAAAATCCAGCATGTGTCGGCCTGTCGTATACGTCGCTATGTAATGCGCAAAATTCACAATACCAGGTTTGTATTCCTGTGGTTTTGTAGCATTTTTATTTTTGCCCGGATTTTTATTTTTTTCGCCCGCGCGCACTAGTTTGGGGGTCTTCAGAGGATGTCATCCATAATATTAAATCGGTGTGGCCTAAGGGACCACAAAAAGTGCAGATGACAATCTTGTGATGTGTCTTGCATGAGTAGACTTTTGTATAGGAGCCAAGTGCAGAGCTTACAGTCAAACAGAAGAGTTGCTACTTTTAGTCTGTCAACAGTACCTTTTGACTGACTCCTCGAGTCTGGTAAACAGATCCTTTCCTGAGTTTGCTTTGTGCTTTGAATACTGTATAAGTATGTACTCAGCTGTGGGTGCTGAATGTTAGATTCTAACATTGCTGAGTGGAGGCTGGTTTTCACTGAGTTTGGTTATGTCAGAGACCTGTTTATATAAAGAGAAGAGTATTCTCCAACTAAAGGTTGCATGCCCGTAGCCAGGGGGGTTCGGGGAGGTCTGACCCCCCCCCCCCCCACAAGGCTCAAAGGTCCACTTTTTGGTCCACTTTTATCTATCTTAGGTCCAAGATTTTTCTTTAAAAGATGGACTGATTCGTGTCACCAGCGAGGCTGGAATCGTAGGAAAACGTCTCACTTTGTCATTGAAAAAAGTTATCTCTGATTTTTTTTCTTTGAAATCCTCTAAGAAAATGCAGGAAATGCCATTTCAGAAGGTTTATTTTTCAAAATTTTCCGGGGGAGCATGCCCCTGGACCCCCATAGGAAACGCATGCCGTTGGCGCTCGCCTTGCGCCTACAACGCTCGCTGGTCCCTCAAGCAGTGGGAAGAACCCCCCCATTCAAAATCCTGGCTATGGGCATGAAATGTGCATTAAAAAAAATTAAGCTGTTTCAAAGTGTTTGTAAATGGTTGAACCATGCTGACTATGATTTGCATGTCAGATCTATTAACTAGCATGATACATCTCTCACACTGTCAGCAGCTAAGGTGTCCTTACAGCAGGAATAATCTGCTTATCAATTATTGAAGCTCAGCTTAGGTGTCTCCACTGCAAACAGGAGGACATATGCTGTACTGTAAATCTTGACATTTTTGCTGAGGTTTTAACTTTCATTGTCGCGGTGACACAGCAAATTCATGACACTGAAAATATGCTGTGAGTCCTTTATCTTATAGCCTGGGTGCCATCCGATTTGTAACGGCTACCCCAAAAATTTTTTAGA